GGCCCAATTTTGAAAATTTCGATTTTTTTTTTTTTTGGGGGGGGGGGGGGCTAGGACGTTTTTCGGGTCCTAGGCCGCCCCCAAGAAATGCCCCCAGTAATTTTTGTCCGTTTCAGGGCCCACCGGACGCCGCCAGATGCCTCCAGCAGCTCCCTCTGCTGTTGTACTACGGTGGTAGTTCATCGGAAGAGATGGCTGCATAGCGCCACAGAACATCAAGCCGAGAGAGAGAGAGAGAGAGAGAGAGAGAGAGAGAGAGAGAGAGAGAGATGATTTTCGTCAGATCTGAGATCCCATCTTAGATTGGGTCCTGGCCAGATCTCAGATCTGTTCTTATGCAGATCTGAATAACTTGACAGTTTAAATTTTCAATTTTCATAAGAATATGAATTAGAAAGTCTTCACCTCACAGTTCAAGTTCTGCTTTTTCCTGATTTTCATTCTCTTTCTCAAGTGTCTTGGGATTGGTCTATTGAGAACTGGTTTCAAGTGTTGTGTGAGCCTTTGTGAACGTCTGTGACTCTGTGACAGTATGAAGCCTTTGTCAAGTTGTGAATAGTTAAAGACAGTAAGTACCAAGTTCCATCCCCTACTCGCAACTGCCGTCGATTGTGTTCATAAAACTGACTTCGGGCCTCGCTCTACTACTCTCGAAATGTGTAAAACGGGATTGAATCTTCCGCTAGAACATGGAAAGATACACCGCCATTATTTTTGTCTTTTGTTCATGTCAAGAGTAGTGGAGTGGGGCCCTTCATTTGTGTTCGGTACTGTTTATTACTAATGTATTATGCACTTTTCTTTTTTTTTTTCCGGTCAGTCTTGACATTTTTTGTCTGGTGTACCGGTCCGGACGGTCCGGGTCCAGTCCTGTCCGGTTGACCGGTGCTGGTCCGGATTACCGGATGTCTGGACCTGTCCAGACAAATGTCTAGACCTCGGTCCAGACATGTCCGGGTGCGGGTCCTCAGTTGCCATGCTCTAAAGTCGAAACTTTACAAAGAAAAACATCCGCGTACGACTCTAAATTTCACACAACTTGCTCTGACATGTCCAAAAGATTCCAAATGCAAAGGGACTTGAGCGAGCGCAGGCCAGTTGGCAAGGTGTTTGCCAAACATTGCACCACTGTCCCCTTCATAGCCGTATCACATTCCACGACAGGGCACTGCTCAGGACACGGTACGAGACCAATACAAAAGGCAGTAAAAAACTGTAAAAATATAAATGAGGCAAGGTCCTCTGCTTTCAGAACACAGTATGAGAACCTATGCGACGGACGAAAGCTCAGGAAACACATAAATGAGGAAAGGTGATCTTCTCTCTTCACGCCACTCAAAGTTATTGCTACGTCCCCCCCTGCATAGCGTAAACACATTCCGGAACCGAGGACTTGGCCAATCCATGAACAATAACAGAAGGATGGGAACAATAACAGAAGGATGGGAACGATAGAAGGATGAGACCGAGGACTTGACCAATCAATGAACAATAACAGAAGGATGAGAATGGGATAAATTCCCTACCTATCCTTGCACACGCTAGCATGGATGCGACCAGTTCAGGCAACATCGGCAAGTATATGCTCACAGTGTCACCTCTCTCAACGCCAACACTTTTCAGGTAGTTTGCGATCTTGCAGACCTGTATATGACAAAAATGAAACAGAAACCATTGTGCACAAACTTAAGACCTCGTTTCTCTTCCGCTTCAGCACCCCAGAAATTAGCATGACCTTTTGAGAAAACAAGTCTGACATGCCGCAGTTTTGGCAAATTATCAGGCTCTTAGCAGGATGGGGGGAAAACTGTCGTCTCGCTATTGAATCGAGAACATCTTTTGAAGTTTTTTTCCTCGAGTCTTTTCACACCACTTATTCCAACAGAACCAACAATAAAAGGATAAAAAGAAAAAGAAAAAAAAGTCTTTTTGCACCCCTTTTGAAGTTTCTTTCCTCGAGTGTTCAGTCTACTGTTTTCCCAATATGCAAAACTGCGGTAATTTGCCAGTAAACAAAAAAAAAGCGGATGGATATGGCAACTACCTCTGCATGGAGCTGCTTGTAGGTGAAGGTTGCATCAACACCTGGGTTGTTTCCTTCCCAGTAGAGGGCAACACGATCACCGTTCCCCTCCTTGATGTGGCGGTCAATTGCATTATAGCAGACATTGGTCTCTGCTCCAATGAACCACTTGACATCAACCGGTCCCTTCCTTGTGTCGAAGTTGTATGATGAAAATTCTTCCTGCGCCAAACAGACAGTATAACACAACAGACAATCCGTGAAGTATCAGACAAATGATTCTACATTGAATCTACAACTATATTACCAACAGAAACAGACAGAGAAAGACATGGGTGCTGGCGGTTAAGACTCTTAAGAGAAAGAGCAACAAAGACTGCACACGCAAAGGAAAGAAAAACAGACAAAGGAAGAGAAAAACACAGAAACGCAACCGGATTATACGAGTGCACGGTTTCCCTTGTTTATGTGGTTAAGAGAAGGGTCATGCTTCCACTTCATGCACACTTGCAAAAGCACACTGGCTCTCTGAGTCATGGCCTCCGGTTCAGATCCCCATGGTTACGGAACAAGAAAAACGGTAAACCTTAGTCCCGAAGGGTACAGCTTGCACCCAAGTAGCGACAACACAGAAAAACAGCAAAGCAGGAGCATAATTGCGTTGTGGCCAACAATATTCTTTCTCCTCATAGGAAGACAACTGCGCCAGCACCCCCACACATTCACGCGCGGATTTGAACCCCAGGCAAGGATTTTCAATCCACACACACACACACACACACACACACACACACACACACACACACACGTGTTGTAGTTTTGTTTATTATACAAGGCCGAATTCTTTGCCCTGCTTTACAGCATGGGACCGAATGGCCACAGGTGGCCACGCGATTTTTGGTGTGGGAATGTATGCTTGGAGTTCTGGCCACAGCATCTTCACGAGGTGGCTCAGAGAGTGTTTGCTGTGGGTGTCATTCCCATGGGCTGCTCTTTTGGAGCACATGGAAGAAACAAGGACTTCCAGGGTGTTTTAAGCAGTAGTGTTCCTGGTGTCACGCGAAGATCTTGTGGACTTTGGGATTATGGTTACACTCCAGAGGCTAAATAGCAGATGGGGGATGTCTAGCCATGGAGTGATAGAGATGGTGGTGATCTGAGTGGATTGTTTGGGATGAATAGCAGTGCCAGTGCTGTTGCGCTTGTGAGCCAACTCGGAGGGCTCTCCAAGTTTTTTGGACTATTGGTGGGTCTGGTCGGTGTTTTCTTGCTGGTGGATCCTTCTGTCTTAGGTGCGTTGCCTTTTGCCCTTCACCTTTTTAATAGATAAAAAAAACTAGTTATATCTGTGGAAATCTGCCGCTTTGGCGGCAGACGGGTGTGTGGGCACTTCCCGCTCAACCACACAAATGTGGGGAACCTTGCACTTTCTATTATTTCCTGCCTATATTCTTTTTTTGTTCTATGGATGGTTTGTGATGATTTGTGGACGAAATGGGAGAGAATTCAGGGGTCCTTCAAACACACACACACACACACACACACACACACACACACACACAACAGTCTGCTAGGGTTGCAGGATTGGTGTGTGAGTAATGTCGCCCACTTTTCTCAGGGTATCGCTAACTCTGGGCAACGTGGCTAGTCCTTATCCATCAGTCAAATGCATCCTGGGAAGACTGTTGGGGTTCAACCTCCTGATGAGTAAGTGAAACTCCGATGAAACAATCTAGCACCATCGTGTGTGTTTTTTTGTGTGTGTGGACTTGTGTATAGCAAACATGACAACACACACACACACACACACACACACACACACACACACACACACACACACACACACACACACCAGATTATTAAGGAGAGCACCTGAGATGCCGTTTGTTGATCTGGCAGGGTCGTACAGTCAGTGGGCCCAGGCTAGTGCTGAGTTGGATCCTGTGTGGTTCTGTATAAACCAGTATCTGATTCAAACCTGCCACCTGCCTTAAAGAAATTCTTAAATATTAAATAAACTACAAAAGACTGCTATAAGACTGTCATGAGTCCTTAACTCACCACGTCTGCAACTCTGAAGATTGTATGCATGTGCAGGGAAACCACATATACCATCAAGCAAATGGCTGGCCGCCAAGGGTAGATGGAGGACCAGATGCAAAAGCCGAGGTCCAATGAAAGACGCATGGAAGTATTGGCAGTTTTGGCACTGGTAATGCAGATGTGAAGACAGGCTCCTGTCTCAAAAATTGATAGGACTCCGCTCAGCCCCTTGTTTCATGCGCACAGAATTTGATCATAGGAATCGAGTGTGCATTTCGGTTTTTCAATGGAGGAACCATTCCTTTTCCATTTCCAACACCGAACTCGCACAATCCTAATGCACCCTACGCCTACGCTGTGACGCTTGGTTTACCAGTGTGGTCTGCAAAGGCAGCCGCCACACACAATCTCCACCATTCCCAGAAACTCCTGCTGGCTACCAACAGGCCATGTATACCTCAGGTAACAAGTTCCTTAGGTGGATTTCGCTGCGGCCCAGCATGGATCCAATCACAAGGACCAGGGAGAATATTATATTAACAGTTCACCGAGTATAGCCTGCTGCCCTCCCTCTGCTGAATGAACCTGTGGGCCTGTGGCCAGTTTTACTGGTCAAAAAGCAAGAAACAAGCAGAGGGAAAATCCTCAAAAAACAAGCCGAAAGGAGCACGGCTTTCCGGATAAAACTGACTGCCACAGTGGTCACTTTTGATTTTTATGCTTTTCTAAGTTTTCTTAAGTTTTCAAAAAAAAAAAAAAAAACTCCTTTGGACGATTCCCCTCATTATGGGCCAAAAACCTCATGCAACATTGATCGCTCGCTTATGCTAGGACTGCCTGTCCATCTTACCCATATTTTGGGGAAGTGCCCCTCCCCAACCAGGCATCTGGCACCCTTTGAAAGAAAAACACCTCAAAGGCAAAAATCATTGTCATCATGCGGCCCCTGTTTTGAGAGCTGTGTTGCGATTTCTAGTTAGCTTGAGTGCGGGAAGCGAAATGGGTCTCCCTTCTGCAGAGTTACGCCATTTGTTCCACCTTTGATAGCCCTCAATGCGAGCAACTTTTCCGTGAAGGATCATTTTCTAGAGAAGTCCGGCTATGGATCCAGTTTTTATAACACCTCCAAGGGTTGTAGTGGTTACGATACTTCGTTCCTGTGACGGAGGGTGCCGGTTCGAGGCCGTCCGTGCACGGCAGGGTATGATCCCTAAACACACGTTGTTCAGTAATCACTGTGAGGCGCTCGTGAACCAGCAGGCAAGTTGGCCCGCAAGAGTGAGCAGGTCTGGTAGCAGTGGTGGGGCTACGTGTGTTCGACGGAGTGTGCGTGATTGTCAAGTCCGTGGTGTGGTGTGCGTTGGGTGTGTGGTGTTGAGTTCAAGGACGCTGCAGCCCTGGAGGTGGGCCGGATATCACGACCGGTATGGATCCAGTTTTTATAACACCTCCAAGGGTTGTAGTGGTTACGATACTTCGTTCCTGTGACAGAGGGTGCCGGTTCGAGGCCGTCCGTGCACGGCAGGGTATGATCCCTAAACACACGTTGTTCAGTAATCACTCGTTGAGCTAGTCTGTGCAGTTATGCCAGGTCTGAAAAGGACTCTCCCATTTACATCTGATTTCAGTTTCCATAATATCCTTTGACTGAACATTTTCTACAGAAGTCCGGTCTACTAGTTGAACTTGTTTGTGGAGTTATGCCAGGTCTGAAAAGGACTCTGCCATTTACATCTGATTTCAGTTTCTATGATATCCTTCGACTGAAAAAGACTTTTCCATCTGAGTGCTCAGACACTCCGCCATTTACATAGCCTTCGGGATTTGGAGTGGATATTGGCAGGGTGATTGAATTTCAGGGTGTTCCAGTGTGTGACAGGCTTGATGGGTTGCGCGCTGATATGTGCCAAAGCTAGAGTTTGAGGCAAAGGGACGGAGAAGAAGTATCCCTCAGAATTCAATGAGACTCTGTTTTTTAATTGATTCATGGGTTGGGATTCTAGGGGACTTCGTGCGGCTGATTAAATTGGGGAGAGACGGCATCGCAAGGAATATGAGTGTGAACGATATACAGAAAACCGAGTTGCGAAATCACACAGATGTCCAGGTAGTCGTGTCCAAGCAGAGAGTACAAAATGCGCCGAGAAACCATCCATATAGAGCAATACAATGAAGTAATGAGCCAACGTTCAAGCCCGTAGGCCACACCAACACAGTATCCAAAGTCGCTCCTCTCTGTCTGGCGCCCAGCGCCCAGCCCACTCTACCCGACTATCCTACCAACAGCTGGTTCACGCAACAGGCTCACTTCGACTCTCGAAGACCAATGTACATGACTGTCAACACCATAGCCCGACCTCTCGTCATGTACCAGGTACGTATCTCGTCACCCTCAATCAGACCTTGATTACCCCACACTTCGCCTCCTACCCTGAAGACCACCTGATCGCCCTCCTTACCCCCTGGCGCCCAGCGGCCCGGCTATGGCTGCCTGCGCCCCGCTGCCCTGCAGCGCCCCACTTCACCACTACGCGCCCCGTCAGTGCCCTTGGCAGCAGCGCAGCATCAAGCGATAGCGCAGCAGCACTTCCGCGTTGCCTGCACTGGTCAGAATGCCTGTCCTGGGCTGCCTCACTTCTTTTATGGAAGTGACAGCCTCCTGGATGCTGCGTGTGGCCTGACTGGAAGCTTCCAGTAGCTTCCGGTTGGGCCTCAGACCCTGCGCCCCGGCCCGAGACTACAGTTGAGGGTCTGGGCCCTTTTCAGTTGGGCACGGCCTGAGTCTCCAGACTTGGGCTGTTTGCTGCATCTGTGCAGGGCTCCCAGGCAGGTGCGTAGGCAGTACTGATTTCCAAAGGCCAGCGGCCTGCTTCCTGGCCCTGCTTTGTGTGTATGTCCCCAGGCGCAACTGTCAAGGCCTGAGCCAACTGTATGACGCAGCTTAGTGAGGCTCACACGTGTACCCAACCAACTGGCGTGCTGCGAGAGCCTGAATACACACATATGGAAATGTCGAATTTTGGCCTCTGACGAATATTCAGGCCCGCCTTCACTTAGGGCGGGCACTCGGCTTGCTGGGGGCCTTAGCCCAGAACATGTGATGTCTGATAGGGCCCCTTGAGGGCTTGTTCCTCACAGCATCCATAAAAATTAATTTAATGCAATTCTGGTTTTTGGTG